GCGGGCGCTTACGTCGTGAGGGTCTGCGTACGCTGATGCGGGTACACGACGCGGCGCCTGGGTCCGGCGCGGCGGGCGTAAACCTACCCAGAGGGAGAACGGACGCAGTGATAGCAACGATGGCGGGGGCGACGGCGGCGGCGGAAACGAGAGCGACAGCGTATCCTGGCGTCCGCCCACCGCCTCAGACCGCCTCAGACCGCCATGTCCCTTCACAACCGCTGCGCAGAATGTTGCTTCGATAGTGGCGCAATTAAAAAAAATATTTTTACTAGCTTAGAATGGCGTCTCTGACGCTTTAAACCACAACGGCACATAAGTGTCTCAGAGACACGGTTTTTGATTGATTGCAAGTAGATACACAGTAGTTTTTTTAATGTACTCTTTCAAGCCTTAACTATCTTGCCTAAAAAACAGTACTGAATGTGTTTTCGGAATACCGAACAAAAATATATCTTTAAAAGTGTTTGTAAGTAATAATTATTTTCACTAAAATATTGAGAAAAAATGTGTAGCTTTTGCTCGCACTCGCTTGTTTTGTTGAAAATATTCAGTGACCACATTCACGTGGCGTCTCCCTCGGGTATTTGTTTATTAGTGCTCCACATGTTCATAATATTAATACATTTTAAACATAATGCGGTTGACCGGCTTGTCTACCGTTAAGCCCAGAAAGTTACTGAGAAGTACTGAATAAGAATTTTTTTTTTAAATATTGGTTTCATTACCAAGTAAATTTTCATTTTCGTCAATATGATGAATCAAGTCGCAAAGATCAAGTAAACGCTGGAGAGATTGTATAGTTGGAAGACTGTATAAAAGTCGTACTTCCCAGTAGGGATGCGACATTGATGTGGATGTTTTCATAACATCAATAATATAAAATGCATGACGTATAAAACAAAGAATTTTTTAATTATATAATACGATGTATTTAAAGAGACTTTTTCAAGACGATGTTCTTTAACATTGACGTTTTGTGGTTGATTTTAAAATGAAAAAAGTTCATCATAACAAAACTGTAATAACTTTCAGATACCTGTAAATTTAATATTCTTCAAATGAACCTGACAAACGGTGAAAAGCAAATAAAATCGAGTGTTTGTCAATAAAGTCAATTATTTTAGAATTATTCAATCAGGTATGTTATTGGATTACCGATCAGTTTTGTTAATTGTCCTTATGATTTTTGGATTGTTTTTCTGTCAAAAATAAATTAAAACTATTAATACACGACAACAATTTAAAATTACATACACTCTGTGTGAACTTAAATGGTCACTAATCCAGTGTTTAAAACGTCTTTAATCAGTTGTTTTGGGTTGACGTTTTAATAACATCGACGTTTTAGTTTTGAGCATTGATGTTTAGAAACATCAATGTTTTGTTGACAAGTCGTATCCCTAATTCCTAGCGTTTCGCTACCAGTGTACTCGTAGGTGCAAATAATTACCTTTCTTTTCTCCTAGAGCTGTGTACTACGAGTACTGTTACAGTGGAGACCCTCTCTAAACAGACTACTCCCTGTCCATATATTCACATATTCCCATCCTGGTTAACACACACGGACATGAATAGTATGGCCGTTTTGAGAGTAAACAGTGTAGAGATATGAAGTATGTCTCTAAACGGCCTCAATTGGTTGTTCTTAGTATTACGCATGTTTTGATATTGTTAATATCGATAATAAATACATTGCAAATCAACCATTGTTAATTATTCAGAATAAGTCCTACAGTACCTATTGAAGGTTCAAGCCATAAGGTGGATTTAAAGCTATGAAGCTTTGGGTCTGGCACATATAAGGTAGAAATCTTTTCCTAATGTGTAAATGAATGCGGTCTCAGGGCACTAATTTGAAATATGCAACTTAATGATATAATACTTGAGTACACAGAAATACTTTCGTCACATAAAATATTCATTTTTTCAGCTCGAGATGGCCAAGTCAAAGGATGAGTATGTGTGTATGAGGGAATGAATGTCATGGCGAAGGATAGGTAGAAAGAAAAAGGGAGCATATTCAGGAATCTTTAGATTTTCTTAATTGTTACTTACATCGTGTATATCATTTTCTGATTGTTCCAAGTGAACATATTGTAAATTAGCAGTATAGAAAATAACTAAATAAACAAGAGATTACCACGAGAGGATCATTGGAAAAAAGTGACAATCTTCGAAGCCCCTAAATGCTCTAGAATTGTGTACCATTTTTTTTGTCTTCCTGTATGTGTCGAGAGGCAAGAAAGAGAGAAGAGAGAAGGAGAGGCAAGAAAGAGAGAAGAGAGAAGGAGAGGCAAGAAAGAGAGAAGGAGAGACAAGAAAGAGAGAAGGAGAGACAAGAAAGAGAGAAGGAGAGACAAGAAACTTTGAAACAATACTTTTCGCTACAATATCTTTTACTCTGATTTAATACGCTATTTGTCCCTAAATTTCAGCGCCCTGAATCCCAGCTTGAAAGTAATTATTTTCTGAATTTGCGCTCTCACAAGAGAGCTCGTTGTCACGATTGCTTAGGAACTCAGTCACGCGCGGGGGCCATAAAAGCAGCGAGGACGTGCTTGGATTAAAAAGCACCACGTTTCTGAGCGTGCGGTGCCTAGGGACTCGATTTGGTATTTCAATGGCTGCTATAACCCGCTGAGATGATACAAAAGGTACAGACGATAAAGAGTCTCATTTATGATAGGCAGAACTGTAACAACGGAATGAGTAGGCACGAAGTACTTCGCATTCATTACTGCAGGTTGAGGTCTTTTCTTCACAAGAAGAACTATCTTATAAGATCGGAATTTGAAAGCAACGATGAGGATCAAGAAGATCTGATGAGAAGACGGAAATTATTGGATGTTAATTATTCTGAAAACTAATACTGGTATATACTGCTCCTCACACAATTGTGCTGCTTAATATACTTCTTGTAGGAAGGAAGGAGGATGCGCGAAGAAGAAGTACATGTCACCAATGAACTAAAACACACCCCGAAATTGCGATGCAATGTAGATATTTCCTTAAAGACATTTGAGTGATGGGAAGCATACAATGGAAAATATTTTTAATTCTAATGAAGCATGAATTTTCCAAAACATTTTGAACAGTGATACTGAATACACTATAGTAACTTGGGAGGGTACTTATTGGCATTTCAGATTGCTATCCAGTTTAATAACGACTCGCAGTATGTTGTCCGAAATCACGTTTTATGAGAAACGTCTTAAATACCCACGCATTAAATATGAAAATAATAAAAAAAATTACGTACGTATTACAGAATATAGTTCTTAACAGACTTCTTGAGTTTGGTTTTGCAATTAGTAAAAGGTGTTAAACGTGCAACTGCGAAGCTTTCCATGGTGTTCTACCGAAACCGAAGTTTTTGTTTTCCTGTTAATGAATCCCTATATGGACTGCAGAAGGAAAACAGGTGAAAGGACTTCCCACCAATTCATCCAATTTTACACTCAAACAACTAAGCCATCTTACTTAGAAACACGAGTACAGATGGCAATCTTATGTACATGGGAGCACTGGAAGGAACCATACTTAGATCCTAATGACTCATCTCCCGGTACACACACACACACACGATTGTATTCATATGCGTGATTATTTGGTCCTCTTGTGTTTTTTTCGCAATGTTTTTTCTTGCGAAGTGGAGCCCATCAGTCAGCCGTTCCGCCTTTCGCCGTGTGGTGGCAGTGGCAATGGCATTGACAGTGAGAGTGGGAGGAAGAGAGAGGGCGGCGCCGACGTCTAATGCTTGGCTTCCTGCCTCGAACAAGTGCCTGCATCTGCGTCCGCCCCACTCCCACCCGCCCGCCTTCCTCGGCCACCGCAGCGGATCTCCGTGCTGGGGAAACGGAGCCCCGAGAGATTTTAAGAGGCGCCAACGGCACGGTCACAGCGATACCAAAATTTCCCTTTCGTATGACGAAAAAAAATCAAACTTAAAAGTTTCTTAAATTGGGCCGTTATTTACAATATTTACAAATAGTTTAAATTGTATTGTATACTCTATCTAATGTAATGCAGTGTAATGTAGTGCATGAAATGCTGAAATACGAATTTCTCGCGAATGGCTATTACTCGAAGTAAATAACTTTCTAATCGGCACTAACACGAACGGTGCTACTTTAAACACAGGGGAGATTGCAATCGTCTAGCCCACACCCGGGACTCGCCCTCCATTGAGGACTTAATCCGCAAAAATACTATTCATATTCGGCATTTATATTTTGAATTTTTAAATACATAATGTCGTATATCTGTTTTTTTGTCATTGTAAAGGTTAATAAACAGTAAAATAGAGCACATTATAAAAGGTTTAATTAATCCTTTAATAAATATTCATGTTATTGTTTCAGTGAACAGGCGTGTAACAGATTTGTAATCAATATTAGCAATGTATCCTTTAAAGCACAATACGAAGTCTGCCTTTCGTTTATTCGAGCCTTCTCTCGAGCGAAGAAGTGTCCCTAGGATTTAGAAGTACACGATAAGAATTGTGTTAAGTTATCGGATGTTCCGAAAACACTCGAGCTCAACATATTTCTGGACACGAAGAAACCCACAACAATCACACGGAACGAGACAAAGAAAAGTTGTCAGAATTAAACTATACGATTAAACTTAGGAGTTACTCTGTTAAAAGAAAAAAAGACTACGAAGTAGGCGCATTAGCTGTAAACTATGCAGTAATCTACGTAACGCTTATAAACATGAACCTTATCTATGTATATTTTCTTTAACTAAGATTAACCTGAGCACTACTCGGCAAGCACTGCAGTAGAATACAACTTTTGTTTAAACAAGGTGCTACCGGTAGGTGTAAAGGAAGGTTTAGAGATAAGAGAGCCTAATGAATGAATAGGAATTAATGATAACGTTTATGGTGTTCTACATAATAAAATCTTTCGCCATTCCACCTCAATTCCTAACCGTTTCCATTTTCGCAATATGCAAATGCTGCAATGACAAACTTCAAAGTAATTTTATTAACTCCGGACACAGAAAGAAAATTGATAAGTGCAACTAGACCATACGGTAGATATGAAAAGTTTCGAAACAATGAATCCAGAAAATAACTTATTTTATCTATTACATGTCATAAGTTCATTTCTGTTTTTATCCTCAGGACTGGGAGAACAGAATGTATGGTTCTTACCCAGAGGAATATTTTTCTCCAGTTTTCTTGCCCCCCATCCCCATGGTCGATGAGCGGGACTTCTTACTGATTTCAATCTGGTTTCCTTGAGAAGTCTCATTAAGAACTTGAGCTGATTAATTAATTCCTGAATAAATGATTGTTGCAGTACAGTAATATTACGAGTTCATTAAAATAATTACACAGGTCTACAATTTTTTTTCTGTAACAAGATAACACTTTCTGGAAGATAATTTGCCTCTCAATCCACATCCAATTTCAGAATTTCTGTATCGGCCTGTTTTCATGTGATGTTTTTTGTAATTTCGTATGTCTCCCTATTTATCATAGAATTCGGCAAAATTGCACGCTCTATAACAATACTGGATACACGTTATACAGAACGAAATACAACATAAAGTGTTAATAAAAGTGAAAAGGTAGCTTGGAATGTTGGGTCAACATGGATATCTCCTCTGTCTTCTGAATTTTCGTCACTGTAGCAATCATCTTCAATCACTGACATGTCAGTGGTAGTGATGAGTGTGATGGTAGTGGTCCCGTCAATTCTTCACTGTGACACACAGGGCTTTTAGTAGATGGTAAATTAGGATAATTCAGTTTTCTTCGTTTTTGAGGTGATTCCAATTATATAAGACTGGCAGAAATAATAGCCTCTTATGTGACCCGATGATTCCCTCCAAATCATGGGAACAGCGAAGAGCGTATAGTGAACATTTTAACCAGCGTTTCAGGAGTGTAACTCGCACATATTTGGGAAAACCATTTCTTGTCCTGATCGTCTACCTTACATACGAAATAAAGTTCCTTACACTTCCTTGCCAGAGAATTAAGGTTGGGATTTTTGCGATATCAGGGTTAACTCTCCACAGATATAAAATAACGTATTTTCGCTTTTTACACAGCTATGAGGCATTTCTTCTGAATTGACACAAAGCACAAACGTTCAAGAAATAATAAAAATAAGCACTCACATCGAACATGATTTCCATGCTGTCAGATCTCTCAATGTTGGGGTCAATTGGCATGAAACACAACGCAATTCTATCTGTTCGAACATGACTTATCATCAATGTTGCCAAACCTTTTTCATTTCCCAAAGGTCAATTTTCGGATTCAGTGTCATGTATAGGAATTTCTGGTACAAATTTCGATTGTTTCTGAACAATTGCAGCTGCAGAATTATTGAATCAATTAACCATATGCATTGTTTTCAAGCATTTCCGCAAATAGAGAGTAGCGTGTAACAAGAAATCTGAGCACGGTAGGCAAAAACCGATTTCATATTCGGATTCAGTGTCCAAGTCTTAGCTGAGAACATCATTCACGATGTTTGATTCAAAGATGCTGTTGACCAGTGCTATCAGAGAGAGTGATATGTAAATTGTGAAAAGATTACCAAAGAAGAAAATGCAAAAAAGACATTCTGTGGAAATCCCCAAAAGAAAATGTAGGTTTCTCCCACTTTGCTAATTTAATTTACCACACAAAATACTTCAGGTCGATTCCAAAGCTGACTCCAAGAACACTATTCTTCAACACTGTTCATAATTACTTTACGAAGTCAATAGTTCAGTGCATGGGAATCACGGATCATAAACTAAGAAGTTAATTTTTTTTGGAGGATACATTTTTGTACTAAAACACCTTCAGAAATGGAGAAAGACAGAGAGAGAGAGAGAGAGTCAAAGAGAGAGAGAGAGAGTGTCAGAGAGAGAGAGAGAGTCAAAGAGAGAGAGAGAGAGTCTAAGAGAGGGGAGAGAGTCCAAGAGAGAGAGAGAGAGTCAAAGAGGAGGAGAGAGTCAAAGAAGAGAGGAGTAGACGAAGGAGTCCAAAGGAGAGAGAGAGTCTAAAGAAGAGAGAGAGCAGAGCAGAGAGAGAGAAGGTCAAAGAGGAGGGAGAGAGTCAAAAGAGAGAAGAGAGTCAAAGAGAGAGAGGAGTCAAAGAGAGAGAGATGTAAAGAGAGCAGAGAGGAGTCAAGAGAGAGAGAGAGAGTCAAAGAGAGAGAGAGAGTCAGAAGAGCAGAGAGACGAGAGTCAAGTAGAGAGAGAGGTAAAGAGTAGAGAGTCACAAAGAGAGAAGAGATCAACGAGAGAGTCAAAAGAGAGAGAGGAGTAGAGATGGAGAGTCAAGAAAGAGAGGCAGAGAGAGAGGGAGTCAAAGAGAGAGAGAGAGTCCAAGAGCAGAGAGAGAGAGAGTCAAAGAGAGAAGCAGATCAAAGAGAGAGAGAGTCAAAAAGAGGCAAGGAGAGTCAAAGAAGATCGATGAGAGAGTCAAAGAGTAGAAGGAGAGAGTCAAAGAAGAGGCAAGAGAAGAAGTCAAGAGAGAGAGAGTCAAAGAGAGAGAGTATCAAGAGAGTGAGAGAGTCAAAGATGAGAGAGTCAAAGAGAGATAGCGAGTCAAAGCAGAGAAGAGTCCAAAGAGAGAGAGAGTGTCAAAGAGAGAGAGAGTGTCAAAGAGAGAGAGTCAACTAAATTTCCATTCACACTATTCAATTTTTATTTGATGAATAATAAATAATATTAATTGCCTTCTAATTAAATATTCTTGTAATTGTAGAAAATGTACTACACCCCAAAACATTGCATAGTTTTTGGTTGTTCCCCTTCACGCAGAAGATCCGTTTTTGTACCACAAATGGTTGACAAAGCATTTGTAAAGCACTTTTTGTCCAATGGAAGTTACGGCTTTACGGATACCATGTGTATAATGCAACGTTGATTCATTCAATATATCGTGCGCATGAGACGATATCGCATAACGTCACAATAATATGACGTTACGCGATAAGCATCTGTAAAACATTCATATACGAATAATTCATCTAAATAAACTCATCTCACTGTTTCGAAGTTCACACTTAGTTCAATAATTGTTTCTAGGATGGTAAAAAGACAGTAAAACATCGAATATTCAAAACATCTTATAAATAAGTAACAAGAAAGCAAACTAACTGTGCGACAATTTTTAAAAACATGCAACGGTAAAATAAATAAATATTTTGACATAAAAGCTATTTGACCCAGTTATCAGCTCAATTACACTACAGAGAAAAAAAAATGATATATACTTTCTTTAAGGATTACTGACACTCATTTGTTAAAAAGATCGCAATGCGAATCAACGATTTCAGAGAATAAAATAAATATATAGATATTTGAAAACATTTTATTTTCAAAAATGTCTGACATGCTATTTTAGGAGGAAAATATATTAAACACGTATTTGATTTAAATCAAATACGTGCTCACAATTTCGATTGTTTTTGAACAATTGCTTTTCAAACAAAAATTTGTTTGAAATTTTGAGCCTTTAACATGTGGTAAAAACATCTTTATTTTCATTACGAACTTGTTTTTGCGGAATGCACGTTTATCCAAACCTTTGCGGGGCATTATTTCTCTTCCTGGTATTTCCAAATAAACAGAAAGTGGAAGTATGCACAATTATGAGACTAATCGGATGACATAACAGAACGTATTATTTAGAAACAAAAAAGTATCTTTAACTTGTGGATTTAAAAGCTATCACCAATATTACACAATTCTCTCTTTATAACATCTTCCGTTCAGTGCTTTTCCCCACATCTCGCTCCAGAGGCTCGCACCCATTCAGCAGGCAATCCATAAAACTGGAAGGTTTTTCGGAGAGTTGTGTCATCCAGGTCCGTCACCTGGATGCGAGGCAACCAGAACTCTCAAGCGGTTGCGTTCTTACCTTGCGTAAGTAATTCACACGCAGTGCGGAAGCGAAACCACTTCAGAGAAAAGCAAAACGATAAAGAAGGCCGGAAAACTATTGTCTTCCCCAGTTGCGGTTGAATACAAAACGATAGCAATTTTTTTCTTAAGAAAACTTATTCAAGTGTTGACAATATGTATGTAATGAATGATATTTCCTGTGGTACATGCAAAATTTAAAAAGCATATTATGAGTTTTATAAAACGTTTGTCTCAAGCATGAACATGGAAGCGCAACAAGAATATTAGAAATGTTATCATTTAATCGAATAGTGCAAGATTTCAACAATTTTTCAGTTAAAGTTCTACAAAACGTAATGAATTAGGGCCTAGGGTTTTCAAACTTTGCATCGCAGCTCGCAGGGGCGTCACGGCCCATGGTAGGGGCGTCAAAGAGATTAATTAAAAATGATCTTTAAATTTGATTCACTTTAATACACATGTCATTTATGTTTACAAAATAATTTTGTACTATAACACTATATGTTATTTGTATTGTATATATGATTTATTTTACAAGTTAACTGTGGATTAATAGAAACTGGCATGTTCTTCACCAATAGCCTATTGAATCACTCATTTGTGTAGATTTTTTAGTATATATATAAACCTTATGTTTGGAATTTCTTGTCGTCAGAGGAACTGCGGGAAGTTTTATTCAGGACAGCGGATCCGCGAACGAAAAAAAATGCAAATCGTTTTAGAGAGTATTAAAGTTTCTGCATGTTTTAATTATTGTTTTAAAACTCTACGTTTATTAGTGTTAGGAACTTTAAACAAATAAAATCGACAAGAAATACTTTATCTTTTCTAAAACTTATTGCATTCGTTTTTGTTGACTCGTCCAAAATATGGCACCTAGTACGTAAGCCTAAACTCACAATCCGAGTACTGCGTTCACGAAGGCAAAACCAGCATGCTGACCTTTCTCACCAGCCACCCTTACATTCGATTTCTGGGTCTACGAATTCCACACGAAATCCAAATTCAGTGGTGCTGGCTTTCTTGCTTTAGGGGTTTAACTCCCGCTCAAAGTAAGATTAGGTACTTGCCAAATGGCATTCTCAAATTAAATATACGGCTAAACATGTTTAACATTACGAAATCAGGATGAATATATTTTGGTTATAAAACACAATGTCATTCTAGAGTGAAAAGTAAAAAAGCATGCAATCATTTGAGTACCAGTTTAGGGAACAGGCTTGAAGCGTGACTTGCCCTCTCGCCACCTCGCTGCTTTCCGTTTGCTGCATCACCGATGTCACAGATGCTCGTCGATCCATCTTGCAATATCCCCATCATTT